AGTTTCACAATCGGATTAATATTTAGGGTATTTTATTTTCTATTTGGCAATTGATTTTACACGGACTGTCTACAATTTTTACACGGAATTATTTTTTGTTAAAGACATAACACATGGTCTTACACTTAGAAAGATTGAAATATGTCATCTCAGCCATTAACTTAGATTACTTAAACCTAAATATTCCATTTAGTCCTATGCTTATAATTTACAACCATCAACAAACCGTACTGTAGAATCATTGTCTATCTTATTTATGTAAATTTGAGTCCAAAGCAAATTAACCCAAATTGATATATTCAAAGACTTTTAAGCATAAATAGACAATTTACTCGATGTTTGACGCGTGATTTATTCACTTTTATGCAAAATCGCACACTGTGAGATACTTTGTTTGATATAATTCCGTGTTTCCTTGCCTTCCAGGCCGCAACTCGGTTCTTAGACATAAAAAAAAAAAACGTTGGCGAGCTGCCCACTTGTCATCATTACCCCATGCCACTTGGGCCTAACCCAGGAAATGTTAGCATTTCAAGTTTTGATCCTCCGTGTACGGACTTTCAATAGATATACATGATTAATGACATATTAATGATTATATATCCTATCTGACATCAAGGCGATTTCTCATTTTGTTACTGATATTGAAAGTAGGCATGGTGGAGCTATTACATCCGCTAAAGGTACAAATACAGGGTATTCAGAGGTCTTTCTATTCATCCACCCACTTTTTTTGTTAATCTATTTATCTATCTATTAAAAGCAATAAACTTACTATATTTTATTATTGTTTATAAAATTAAAAGTTTTATATTTCTTTTGGAACTCAATGACGTTTCTTCACCAAAAAAAAAAAACAAACAAAAAACAATGCAAATATGGTGGATAGCTTAGCATCAGTCGGTTTCTTCCAGATTTCACAACTGGAACACAGTGTTTCATTTAAGCATGCACTTCTAATGATAATATGTGAGTTACCTTATCGTGTATAAAATTTTTTTACTAAATTTTACACGAACAAAATGAATCAATTTCACGAAACGAGACCGTGCGTTGAGATGCGTGACATGTATGCTCAAGAGTTATATAGTTCACTCAAAACGAGACTTCATAGCATGCTTTGCAATCATGAACCGGATGCTCTTTCAAAACAGTTTTGAAATAGGAGAGATATCATTGCGTTCTACTCTGTTCTTTGTTTCGCCGAAGAAAACAAGGGTAGAGATCTACTTTTAACAGCGCCATTTTATTGTAAGTAACTAAGTGTCCAAGCTTAATGATCCAAAAATCTCTAATATTTCCTTATAATTTCGACTTAGGAATGAAATACAAATGTTTTATCATTTATCTGCACAGATGTCTCGTCACTTTAATAAAAAAAGACGTTATGCTATCGTCAACATTATCTTGTTCATTGACCTTTTTTTCACACACCAGAGCGAATAATAAGAACAACTGTAATGTATATTATGTAAATTTAAATAAACCTTCATTATTCTTGACGGAATTTCATATTTGAATTAGGAAATGAACGGCAGAAGAGAATATTTTGTCAGCTTGTCTTCTGATTGGTGGTTGAATTTCTGATATCAGTACATTTCAATGCCTATCATGTAGGATATTTATTTCAAACATAAGTTGTAAGATACGAGATTAGTTTGACATACTAACAGAAATGGATAACTAAATAACTTCAAAATGACAATATGCAAATCAACTATTTTTTGATTCAAAACAAATCCATGTAGAAATATCAGCGTTTATATAACATTGTAGTAAAGTCACTTAAAGAAATTAAGTTGGCTAAACGTATAGAAGAAGCACCATAGATTTTTAATAACGTGATAAACACGTTAATGTGCCAAAAAAAAAGTCGCATATAATGCAATGCATGAATTTTATTACACCTCAGGTGGCTTATATTACCGATTTACTCGTCATACAATGATAATGTAACAGAGTGTAATTTATAAAATGAAGAATAACAAAATTTCAATAGGAAATTATGAATATAAATATTTTTTTTCAGAACTACACAAATGCAGTTATATCCGACTAAAAAAATGACATTAAGTGCCAACATTATAAAAGATAGCGGCATGAAATGCTATTCACAGACGAACCTACGGTTCGCTCCGATTTGTAACCAGAGATAGTATTTGTTTTTGTGATTATATTCGTTTCCTGCAGTCTGATTGTAGTTGTGATAGTAACGTTGCCTTTGAATTGCTCGAGCTGATCACATTTTTGAATTAGGCTTGACTAAAGATTCTACGGTTGCAAGATAAGCGAAGCCCTTTGTTTGTTTATAATAAACAGCTACGAGTTTTGATTAATACCAGGTCTCATTAAAGCAATCAGTATTAATCAAAATTTCATGCCTTTTCTGGCGTTTCTATTGCCTTAGATGATTTAGGTTTTTACATTTTCAGTCTGGTTCAAGACATTTTTGCTCAGAATCAGGACACCAAGAATTTCAGATCAAAACTTATTCGCTCCCCGTGTGGCTCGATGGTAAATTTGGGGGCTTATAACGCTAAAAGTCTAGCTTCAATACTTGCTGTGAGAACAGCACATATAGCCTATTGTGTAGCAAACAAGTAAAAAAAGCTCAACCAGCAAGAGCATTAGTACAGAATTACACTAACTAAAGATATCGTTAAGCTTATGTTATATCCAATCAAACAAGAGCATCAACGAAGTGTTGATATTTTGATTCTACTTGTGTGAGTACTATTCAAAAAGTTGCTTTTCAGTCATTAATTTTCTGGAAATCCCAAAGCGATGACAGTCTTCAGTAAATCGACTATATATATATATACACACACGCATATGTATACATAAGCATCTTGGGATTTTTTTATTGGTTACTAAGAAATTTTAATCTACGAACAGCGAATTCAAATGCGGAATAGCTAAAACTCAATAATTTAATTTCATTACTGAGTAAAGTAACTAAACATACTGAGTTAAGTAAAAATGGATTTAAGTCTTTTGCACTTTCCTAAATAACACGTTAGATTATTTGTTACCTGAGGCACTATGGCAAATAGGGAATTATTACACAATAGGTAATAAGTTTAGCATGGACTTTAAGGTGCGTGATGTGAGAAATTATAAACTTCCAAAGGCTGTGTTAAAGTACAATTCAGCAGAAATACTAGATGGAAAGGTACCAATTCAAAGATTCAGTTATCATCAACATAAACTAGTACAACCTGAACAAAATAGACTTGAAGGGGCAGAAAAGTGAAATGTAGGAAATT